ATATATATATATATATATATATATATATATATATATATATAGCATTACACAGGGACCTAATGCTTTGTATTGTGGTATTTCCCATCCTTAATTCTCTCTTTCAGGACTTCCCGGTGACTTACCAAATCTGATAGCTTCTCAGTTTGTCTGCAGCTGGTGTGATTTCTCTGTCTGTGTGGTCGTCATACCATGCATTGGAGCACCAAATGTTTTTATTAACAAAATCTCAATTGTTTGATTTTACCAATAAAGACATGGGAGCCAGATGCTGGGGTGAAAGCCTGCCAGCTCAGAGAGACAAAGAAAACATCCAGCTGACCTTCCTCCTCTGCTGATATCCCAAAAGAAGCATGTTCCTTCTCTATACCATCTCAAAAAACAAACAAACAAAACAAAAAACCCCAAACTGAATGTCCCTCCCTTCTACTTCCTGTTCTCTGCCCATCCTGACTTTCTCTCACTCTGTCTTTTTCCCATGTTCATCACTCTCCGTCAACTGGTTGCGTGCTCTGCCTCTTGACCTAGGGTTGACTTTATTTAATCCTGTTTACAGTATTCAAGCCGAAAGCTCTTAGATTAAAGGTGTGTGCTAAGGCTGAGCCAGAGTACAACTAGAAACAGGTTTTTCCAGTAAACAACACAATCTCTGGGTTCACAGTGTGATCAAATATCCAGCAGCAAAGGTCAACCAGGATAACTTAGGGGAACCCTAATACCTCCAACTCTTAATGAAAAAACAGAATGAGAATGCTGGAGATCTATCACTCACTAGCAGAACTAGTGTGGCATGCATAAAGTCCTTTGTTCAAACAAAGATCTCTCTCTCTGTCTCACACACACACACACACACACAAAGAGTTGTGCTAGGGCTGGAGACCAGCTCTGCGGTAGTGCGCTGGCCTAGCGTGTGCGCTGCCCTGGGCTGGATCCCCACCACCAGGTAAGTAAATGTATATTATGGTACACATCATGGAGTCCCATTGAAGTCTAATCTAGCATCTGTGATTTGCTTGTCTTGTTCTACAGGTACTGGAAGAGGAGGTAGCAGTATCTGGGGCAAGAAGTTTGAGGATGAATACAGTGAATACCTGAAGGTATAGCCCTGTGCTCCCGGTTACACTTGGAAACTATACATGATAGTAACACATTAATATCACTAGGAGCCAAGTGTGGTGGTGTACCCCTTTAATCCCACCATTTGGGAGGCAACAGCAGGTGGATTGAGGTCAGTCTGGTCTACATAGTGAGTTCCAGGCCAGCCAGGGCTACACAGTAAGACCCTATCTCAATAAACAAATCTTTCTAAAATTAATATACATTTTTGTACTGTTTGCACTCAGTCTGAGTGTCAATGTGTGGCAGGTCTAGCCTGGCATAGGTTCTGGAGTCTTGCTTCACTAGTGTTGTATATTAAGAGAGCTTGTCCTTGGGTCCAGCCTCAACTAGTTAGTTAGAAAGGGGCTTAATGTCTCACCATGAAGTATGAGTTAAATGACATAAATGACTGGCCTTTCATCTTTTGTTTCTGTAGTTTTGTTGCTTTTTGAAGGTCTGTGTAGCCTTGGCTGGCCTCAAACTCATGGTGGTCTGCCTGCTTCTGCCTCCCAAGTGCTGGGATTAAAAGTCGCCACCACCATGCCTGGCCCTGTCACTGGCCTTTTTTTTTTTTTTGTTTGGTTGTTTGGTTGTTGGTGGGTTGGTTTGGTTTAGTTTGGTTTGGGTTTTGTTTTTTGTTTTGTTTTTTTTTTTTTTTGAGACAGAGTTTCTTTGTGTAGCCTTGGCTATCCTGGACTCACTTTGTAGACCAGACTGGCTTTGAACTCACAGAGATCCACCTGCCTCTGCCTCCCAGAGTGCTGAGATGACAGTCTTGCAACATCCGAGCCTGCATTCTGCCTGCATGTGTGCCTGTGCACCCAGAATTGGGCACCAGATCTTACTACAGATGGTTATGAGCCACCATGTGGGACTTGAACTCACGACTTTTGAAAGGCTAGCCAGCATTCTTAACCTCTCAGCCCTCTCTCCAGCCCCTATTTTTACTGTGTTTAATTATGTGTAGGTGTGTGTTTTGGCATGTGAGTGTGTGCCCATGAGTGCAGGTGCTGGCAGAGACCAGAGCTGGAGATACTGCTGGTTGCCAGCTGTGCAGCATGAGTGCTGGGAGAGCAGCAAGTGTGTCCATTGAGCACGAGCCGTCTCCCCAGTCCAGTCTCCAGCTTTTATCATTTTCTATTATATGTTTAGATATTCCTGTATTATTTTTACTTAATTACTTGTATTAGCTTCCAGGGAGAAGTACTTATAAAGAATTAGTTACTAGGGGTTGTCAAGATGTCTCAGTAGCTAAGGGTACTGGCTGCTCTTCCAGAGGACCCAGGTTCACTTCCCAGCACCCACATGGTGGTCCACAAACACCTGTAACTCCAGTTCCAAAGGACCCAACTCTCTCTTTTGGCCTCTGCACACACCTGGTACACATTTATGTAGGCAAAACACTCATACACACAAAAGAAACTTAAAAATTAAAACTATGTTAGTAGTAGTAGTAGTTTTTCAAAATGGTTTCTCAAGCTGGAGAGATGGCTCAGAGGTTCAGAGCATTGGCTGTTCTTGGAAAGGTCCTGAGTTCAATTCCCAGCAACCACATGGTGGCTCACAACCATCTATAGTGAGAACTGGTTCCCTTTTCTGGCATGCAGGCACACAAGCAGGCAGAATGCTGTATAAATAATAGATAAATAAATCTAAGACCAAAACAAAAAAAACATGGTTTTCCTGTGTAGCCCTGGATATCCTGGAACTTGCTCTGTTGACCTGGCTGGCCTCAAACTCACTATGGGCCACAATGCCTGGCTAAGCAAATATTTTTTATTTTTTAAAAAAACCTAGTGGGCTGGAGAGACAGCTCAGAGGTTAAGAGCACTGTCTGCTCTTCCAAAGGTCTTGAGTTCAATTCCCAGCAACAACATGGTGGCTCACAACCCTCTAAGATGAAATGTGGTGCCCTCTTCTGGCAAGCAGGTGTACATGCAGGAAGAACACTATCCATAATAAAAAAAAATCTTTAAAACAACAGCAACAAAACTAGCACCAGCAGGTATGGTGGCATACACCTTTAATCCTAGCACTCAGGAGGTAGGGAAACAGATGGATTTCTATGAGTTCAAGGCCAGCCTGGTCTATAAGACAGCCAGGGCTTGATACACAGAGAAACCTTGTGGCAAAAGCAAAACAAACAAAAATGCTGAAGAAGATGAGATAAGAGGATTATTAATTTGAGACAAGTCTAAGCTATATCTTTTTCCTGACCTAGGACATAGCTTAGTTGATAGAGTGAATGGCTGGCAGGCAGAAAGCCTTGGGTTCAGTCCCAGAGCTACATAAACAAAGCATGGTGGTACACACCTGTAATGTCAGCACTAGAGAGGCAGAGGGTCAGAAATCTAAGGTCTGTCTCAGCTACATCATGAATTTGAGGCAAGCCTGGGCTACGTGAGATCCTGTCCAGAGTTGAGGATGAGTATTCAAGGTTCTCGTGCTATTTCAGCTCCCACATGCTAAGACTAGGCATGTGTCACCACTCCTGAGTCAGTCATCCTTCACACAGATAATAACTATTATGTAGATGCAGCTTCGCCCCTCGCCTTTCCAGCTAGTGTCACCTGACCGACAGCTGATGCCAGAGAGGTCAGCGATTAGTTATGTGCATGCTGTCGTTAACTAGCCACCTCTGTGGCCCAGCTCATACTTACCTTTTGTTTCAGTGAGATACTTTCAATTCTTATATGCCATGCCTTATAAACTAGTAGTATTGAAATATTAGAACTACTGGAGACCTTCCTCAGATCATCCAGTGCTGGGGTAATAAATTGATTCATCTGCCATGGAGAAAGTCTCACAGATACATTCCTTGAATTTTGTTTGTTTTTGAAGCAGTGTTTCTCTGTGTAGCCTTGGCTGTCCTGGACTCACTTTGCAGACCAAGCTGGCCTCAGACTCACAGAGATCCACCTGCCTCTGCTTCCCTGCGTGCTGGATCACAGGCATGCACCACCATGTCCAGCACGGATGCATTCTTTATGAGCATAAAGAAATCCTTGGGCAAGGGGATACACTTTTGATTTTGCCAGACTCCATCTCTGCCCAGTTTCAGTTTGCGATCTGCTTGACCCTTGTGAGCATCTTCATCTTGAGCAGACCCCTCAACTAGTCCAAGCTCCATTGTTTTACAGGTCAAGAAACTAGCCTAGAGTCCAGTATTCAAGAAGAGATTTGAGAATTTGGGTTTTGTTGCCTGATTGTTTTTTCATTCCAGCACACTTCCTTAATACAAATGTAAGGCATATTTCTGTTAGAAATAAAAGTGTTTGTAACTCTTCTCCAAAGTAATAATGAAATTGATTGGAGTATAATTATAGAACAAGTTATGTAGAAGCCTTTACAGGATAAAGATAACACAAAACCCACACATTTGGATTCATGCCAATAAAAAGAAGCTAGCTAAACAATTTCGTGGTCTCCTAAATGTTGGGAAGGCAGAAGTCTGCCTTTGGAATTTGCAGTTAACACAGTTAAATTAATGGCTTGGTTTGTCTTTTTCAGCACAACGTTAGAGGTGTTGTATCTATGGCTAATAATGGCCCAAATACCAATGGATCTCAGTTCTTCATCACCTATGGCAAGCAGCCACATCTGGACATGAAGTACACAGTATTTGGAAAGTGAGTGTTCTGGTCGCCTCTTTCTTTGGCACATAAGTGTACCATGGCTGTGCTCACAGCAGAGCTAAAGACCAGTTGGACAAACAAGTAGCTGCACTTTACACCAGTCATCAACTCTCTGACCCCGAGGAAGATATACACTATCTGGCCTTCTTTCTTTCTTCTCTCGTTTAGTTTCTTAGACAGGGTTTCTCTGTATAGCCTTAGCTGTCCTGGAACTTGCTCTATAGACCAGCTGACTTTGACCTCTGAGATCTGCCTGCCTCTGGCCTTTAGTGCTGGTATTAAAGGTATGTGCCTCCATCACCCAGCAAGCCTAATTTTCTTTATTTTGCTTAAAAGGAACCAAAAAAGTGCTTAGGCATGTTATGCAAATTAACAGTGATAGATATGTTTTCATTAAGAACATTTAACAGCAGGCAACATGTCTGGAAATAGTGACTTAGAGGATGGACAAGCATGGTGACTCTTATTTGTCTCCAGAGTTCCAAGCACCTCTTGGTTTTTAGCCACCACTGGTTTTCATTTTCAAGCCCACCACATGGTCATCCAGGCCACACAGATTCAGTCAGAACATGTGTCATGCAAAGAGAGAACAAACAGGTTCTGCTGGCCTAAAACATTTTAAAACAACTTTCCATTGAGCTCTCAAGGTGGCTCAACAAGCTTAAAAAAAAGCATTTGCCATGTGTGAAAACTTGATAGCTTGATCCCCAAAGCCACATAAAGGGGGAAGGAGGGAACCCATTCCACAGTAGTCCTTTGGCTTCTATGTGCATGTCCTCACACATCACAACTGCACACAGTAAATAAACATCATTTGTTTGTTTTTTGACACAGGGTTTCTCTGTGTAGCCCTGGCTGTTCTGGAACTCACTCTGTAGACCAGGCTGGCCTCAAACTCAGAGATCCCCCCAGCCTTTGCTGGGATTAAAGATGTGTGACACCACATCTGGCTAATAAACATAATTCTTTTAAAGAGTTAAAAATAAAGAAACTTTCCCATAAGACCTAGAACTTGATGTGATTGCACCTCAGCTATAAGGGGGTGTAGGTAATCTTTTTCAGCTGGATAGATTGTGCCTTCAGTGAAGTGTGCCCAAGTAAAAATTAATCCTAGAGAGCTGTTTGGCAGTTTTTACTGAATTATGCAGTGTAAACATTCAACCTTAAAGTTGCTTTTGTAATTCAAAAGGAGGTAAAATTCATTCATTCAGGGTTTTGGGGGATTTAGCTCAGTGGTAGAGTGCTTGCTTAGGAAGCACAAGGCCCTGGGTTCAGTTCTCAACTCTGCGGGGGGAAAATTCATTCAATATGTACGTACCATGCTCAGTAATTAAAAAAAAAAAAAAAAAACAGAAACAAAAAAAAAAAAAAATGATTGGAGAGCACCAGAATTTATTTATTTATTTGGTTATAATATTTAGGACTTTTTTGGTTTGGTTTTGTTTTTCCAGACAGGGTTTCTCTGTATGTAGCCCTGGCTGCCTGGACTCACTGTTAGACCCTGAATTCACAGGTATCCGTCTTCCTCTGCCTCCCTGCAGGGATTAAAGGCATGGGCCACTGCCACCAGCCTCGGGTTTGGGTGGTTGGTTTGGGGGAAAGGGTTTCTCTGGTTAGCCCTGGCTGAATATTTAGGTTTTTCAAACAAGATTTTTTTTTAAAAAAAACTATGTAGCTCAGACATCCCTCAAACTCATGATCCTCCTGTTTCAGCCATCCCTGGTTGGTTGGTTGGTTGTTTTTTTGGGTTTTTTTGGGTTTTTTTGCCATTCGTATTCTAAGACAGTGGGTGTAAGTCATAATAGCTGTAAGTCATCGTGATTGGCTAGAGTTTTATCTAGTAGTTTAGACCCTAGGTTAGGAACTAGAGGTTCCCGCTATTTACTTGTGTTCCAAATACCTGTCTGACTTAGTATATATTAATGCAGCAACTGGAACACTAGACTGAGAGCATTTGGCTATCTTTGTGTCTGCATGCTGGCAATCTAAAAGTAAAGGTCAGCCTTGGGTTCGTAGATTACTTGGTTTTCAGACTTCTTTTTCGATTTTATTTGTGTGCTGCTTGAATTTATGTCTACCATGTGCATGTCTAGTGCCTGCAGAAGTCAGAAGAGGGTTTTGGGTCCCTTGGAACTGGAGCTGTGAGCTGTCATGTGGGTGCTAGGAACCTAACCCAGATCCTGTCTCTGCAAGAGCAGTAAGTGCTTTTAACCAGTCAACCTGTCTCCAGCCCCATAAACTACTTGAGGTTTTATTTGTACCACATTTTTCTGGAAAGAAGACATGTTAAGTGTTCTGTGGTTCCTAAGGACCTCATGTTCCAGGTTCCTGACCCTTCAAGTCTACTTGCCTTTTTTCCATTGGAGCTCAGAATTTCCCAAGTTCTCTGTTTTTTGTTTTTGTTTTTTTTTGTGCAGACTGGAAGATAACTATAGAACTTAATTGTAGTCCATTACCCCCCCCCAAAAAAAAAAGAAAACCAAAGGGTTTCTATGTATGGCCCTGGTTGTCCTAGAACTCACTCTGCCTCTCAAGGTGTGTCTTACCACCACGCTAGAACTTGATTGTCTTAATGTAGGAGTAAATTTAAAAGGTATGATTATTGTAGTTAACCTTTCTAGCATTCTTCCCTCTGTGCTTTTCTTATTTTTCCTGTTTTTGTTCTTAAGGCGTGGTCTCACTATATAGAGGAGGGTGACCTTGAACTCACAGATGGCTGCCTGCCTTTGCCTCCTCCCAAGTACTGGGTTTAAAGCGTCTGCCACTAAGCCTGGATGTTTCTATGTTCTTTCATATCTTAGTGGAAATGTAAATCTGTTGTGTTTTTTTTTTTTTAAAGTATATGCTTCATAGAGCTGTTAAGATGGCTCATAAGTTAAAAGTAAGTACTGGCTACTCTTTCAGAGGACCAATTGCAACCTCTATAACTCCAGTTCCTGAGAAACTAACACCCTCTTTTGGCTTCCAGGGACACTGCATGCATGCGGTTTGCAGGCATACATGCTGGCAAAATACTTATAGACATAAAATAAAAATCTAAGTACATATATAAGCCCTGATGCTTGCTTTGCATTGCATTGAGGCATAATATTTTTTTAAAAAGCATTTTTTTTTAGCAAAGCATTGGCTCAGATTCCCACCATTTATTTTGTTTTGTTTTTTTGACCCACAGTTTTAGAAGTTTCAGCCCATGATCATTTGCTGCAGTTCTTTGTCCTGTTCAGCACATAATGGAAGCATGTGGTAGACCAAAACTGTTCACTTCATGGCCAAGAAACAAAAGAGGGGGAAAAGGTTTGTGTGGCGCACACCTTTAATCCCAGCACTTGGGAGGCAGAGGCAGGCAGATGTCTGTGAATTTGAGGCCAGCCTGGTCTACAGACCAATTTCCAGGGCAGCCAGGGCTAAAGAGAGGAAAAAGAAAAGGGGGTGGGGGAGAGAAGGTCCCACAATCCCCTTTAAGAGCATATCCCTATGACCCAAAGACCTCCTCTCTCTCTCTCTCTCTCTCTCTCTCTCTCTCTCTCTCTCTCTGTGTGTGTGTGTGTGTGTGTGTATACATATGTGTGTGTACAGATGCAGAGACCCTATCTCTTAAAGCCTTTCAGACTTCCCAGTAATCCCACACTGGTTACCAAGCCTCTAGCTCGAGTTCCAAGCCATAGCAACAGGTATACATGTCTTTGAGGTCACCCAGTTGTCATAAGGAAGACCTGAGGAAGTGTGGGGCACTTCACTCTTTTGGTGACTTCCATGGGCGGGACCCTTATGCTCCACTTTGCCACTTGTGTCCAGAAGGCACAGCCTAAGCAGGCCACATGATGGGAAGAGAAGGTACCAGTGAAATGGAGCCCTCTCCTCTGAAGACTGTAATTGCTGTAGATACTGTATATTTCAAGCTGAGAAATCTTTACATGTTACATTGTTTCTCTTTCAGGGTTATAGATGGTCTGGAGACCTTAGATGAATTGGAGAAGTTACCAGTAAATGAGAAGACATACAGGCCTCTTAATGATGTGCACATTAAGGACATAACTATTCATGCCAACCCATTTGCTCAGTAGCTGTAATAGACCTGGACAGATACTTGGCAAATGCTTCACTGGACCACGCCCACCATGGTTTGTCCAGTTCTGTGTATGTCAGAGACTGGTCCTTCTGGTGTGTGCAGTAACGACGCGACATCCATCTGGGAGCCCCACAGCTTTCACCCGGCCGAGTGGCCATTTTTAAATGCTGACCCTCAGATGTAGGCATTTTTGAGCAGCCAAATTACATACTATGACGATGCTAGTCTGTAACTAGACTATTTTCTCTCTGGGGAGGTTGGGTGTTTTATTTTGTTTTGGGTGAGGGTGGTTCTGAAATAGTGTTGGTAGGTTACCTGGAATGGCTTCCTCTTTTCCTTTGTCTCCTAGTGCTATGACTGCAGGTGGGAGCCATCACATGTAGTTAGCAGTTTTTAAAAATAGTGTCAAGACATGTTTGGCTCTTAGGAGCTTATTCTGCTGGGTTGGTTTCACGTCTTTAATCCCAGCATTCTGAAAACAGTGAGTCCCCGGTCACCCTGGTTTAGATGGAGAATCCTAGTACAGCATAGCAAGACAGTCTAAAGGAAAAAGAAAGGCAGAAAAGGCCTATTCTAATGATTGGCCACCTACAGCCATGAAGAGAGCAGGGACAGGGAGGAACACTGTTGGTCTAATACAGGCACTGTGATCAAGATCCAGGTATGAATTCCTTTCTGCATACTCTTGAGTATTTAGCATTCTGATCTCTGTGTTAACTAGCAGTAAATATAACTAAGATGACTACAGTCCTGATCACTTGCTTCTTTCCCCTTTAAAAAGGAAGCTCTGGTGGTGTGTCAACTTTGCGTGAATGTAACAAAGAAATCAATGATCCAAAAAGGCTGAGTTCAGAAAACTTTGTAAACAAAGGTCAATAAGCTCATACAAAATATTAATAGCAGCCCTTTCCCAGAACTTTCTCAGGACTATTTAAACACGATTGTCTGGCATGTACTGTAGATTATATCTGGGAAAGCCTAAAAGCAGATCCGGATTCAGGGCACACTGGCCAGATTGGGGTCTATAGCTGTGTTCTGACATCCAACCAGAATAAATGTCTCAAAAATTGAATACTGGGCGATAGTGGCACATGCCTTTGATCCCAGCACTTGGGAGGCAGAGGCAATCTGATTGCTGTGAGCTTGGGGCCGGCCAGATCTACAGAGTGAGTACAGGACAACCAAGGCTACACAGAGAAACCCTGTCTGGAAAAAGACACCATAAAGTTAGTCTGTTCGTGTGCAGGCACTCACCCTGCCATCACTTTAGCAAACATGTCTTCCAGGTGCCTGGGTTACTTGGAATGATCAAGCTTTGTTAATGGAAGCTGCACAAACAACCCCAGGCAATTACAAGGATAGCCCCAGCATTCCATTGATGTTGGTGAAAAGGCCATTTTTTTGGACTAAAAGGGGACGAATGTAGAGGTGACCTTCGTTCACATTGTATTGTCTGTCCCAAGTGGGACTTACAGATTGTTTTAGGGGCATCTTAAGCCCAATAAATGTAAAACATGCTGGCCATCATACAATGTACATCTTACAGTTTCACTTAGTAACATAAACCTGCATATCTGAAGTTAAGTAATCTTACCTGGTTTTGAATAGCTAAAACCAGTCAAAACAATTTATTGAGCTTCCAGGTGTGTATACTGTCGTAAGATCCTGGTGACTGACCAGCCATAAAGACCTTTTAGTATTTTAAAGCTTAAGCTTTAGCTTGGGCAACTAGCTCCGCCTAGTTCATCTAAGTTCCCTCGGCCACCTAGCCTCACACACCATGTTGGCTGGCTATACCTTCCAGGCCTGTGGTCACATCTGTCTCAACTCTTGCCTCCTGGTGAAAAAGACCCTCCTCCTTCTACCCAGAAGTTCCGCCTTCCACTTTCTGCCCTAGATATTGGCCAATCAGCAATGAGAAGCATCTGATACAACCGTATAAAGATAGAGGACAACATGACTTTTTAGGATTTACAAAACAGGAGGCCAGTAATGGATCATAGTAGTGACCAGAATAACCAGAATTTGTTAGCATTTAGCTCACTGCTGCTTAAGCAATTAACAATGGAAAATACAAGCTGGGCACTTGTATTGAAATGACTCTCTGGCTCTCTCTGTTTTTCAAGACAGGGTTTCTCTGTGTAGCCTTGGCTGTCATGGACTTGCTTTGTAGACCAGGCTGGCCTCAAACTCAAGAGATTCACCTGTCTCTGCCACCCAAGTGCTGTGACCACCGTTCCCAGCTTTGAAATGATTTTGCAAACATTTTTTGATTGGAAACAACTTTGTAAGTCTTATGTTCAAAACTAGCAATGTAAAGCTCTAAGTTTTCTTGAGCTGCAGCAGATGAGGATGCAGACACTGAGGTGAGTAAGCCACACTTCACTGTTCATGTGGGGGGATTGTGTTAGCTCTCTGCAGAGCCTGTGTGGATGGGTGCAAGGTGAAGATCATGTTGGAGACACACTAAACACGTTTTCCGAGCTGGGCAGCAGTGGTGTGATACAGAGCAGTTTTGGGTGAAGAACTGCCAGGTCCAGGTGTGGTATAGTGGTACATGCCTTTAACCCCAAACAATAGAGGTGAAGTTAAGTTTGAGGAAGAAAGCACCCATGTTTGAAAGTGATGTTTAATTGAGTGGAGAAAAGGTGACAAGTCAGAGAAAGATTTGACAGAACAGAATATGCCCAACAGAGAGGAAAGGGAAGTTAATAGGGGAGGGGGGAGGCAATTTTACTGGGAGAGTTTTACAAGAGTTTAAATGGGAAAACAAGTTAGACACAGGTGAAGGCCAAATGCCAGAAAATGAGGAGACAGAAGATTAGAAAAGATTGCTGGAGTTGGTTTGAGGCCAAGCAGAACAATTCAGGGGTTGAGAGAGAAGTCAGGTTGAATTAACTTAGTTGGGAGAGGATTTTGAGCCAGAACAGCTGAGTTGAATCAGCCAGCCCAGAGCTCAGTAAGAATAAGAAATGGTGAGCTTATTCAGCAGTAAGTCTCAGAGGCTGAAAACATTCTAGGCCTAGATTAGATTGTATGGAGGCTAGAAGCTTCCAGGATTAGGCCTAGGTTAGCAGACAGAGGCAGTAAGCCTCCCAGAGAACAACTCAAACAGGTGAATAAACGTTGTTTTTATAGTTCTCCCTAAGTTTGAGGACAACCTGATCTAAATAGGGAATTCAGGTCATTGTGGACTATAAGAGTAAGACCTTGTGTCAAATAAAAATTCAAGTTGTAGCCTGCATGGTGGTACATACCTGTAATCCCAGCACCCAGGGAGGCAGAGGCTCTGAGTTTGAGGCCAGCCTGGACTACACAGAGAAACCCTGTCTCGAAAAAAATAAAATAAAATTGTACGGATTACAGAAATAGAGGTGATATGAAGCCAATATTTATGAATTAAAAATTACTAGGATAAAGTAAACACGGGTTTATTTGGCTCATTATTCAAGGGTTCAGTCTATCGAGGCAACATGAATCTGAGGCAGGTGGTGACGTTGCATCCACAGTCAGAAATTGAGGGCATGGGCAGCAGCATGGGCAAGGAGAGACCTGACCCCTGTTCTCAGTTATGAGAGTGGGAGAGCGGGCCCCAGCCTACCAGCTGCAGCATTCCAGAGAGCAAGCCTGCACCTCACTTGGGCAACACGATAGAGCTGGCCCTGACAGCGAAGCGTTAGGTGAGCACAAGAGTGGGAGAGCTGGCTCTGCTCCTTGCTGGCTGAGGCATTGAGTGAGCTCCTTGGAGATCTCACCCTGGTAGTGTGGGTACAGAGAGCTGGCAGGCGGACCAACTCAGCTACCACCCAGGCCCACCCCAACATCTATGAACTGCTGAGTGTGTGAAGGGGCCTGTCCTGCAGATCCAAAGATGTTGGCTGCCCAGGACATATGGCAGCAGGATATCCAACATCCCTGTGAGTATTGATAGTGTAGCAGAAGCAAGCAGCCTTGAACTAGAACAATGATTCGCTGCAACAGATATTTGCAAATAAAGATGTGTGGACAGAAGGGTATATTGGGATACACTACAGCTCCCACATGAGATGTTCTTTATGTCTCGATGTTATTTTATTTTTATTTTCTTTTGGGAGGGAGGTTTCAAGGACGGAAGGTGGACATGAAGGGATGGGGAAATGAGTTGGAATGAGGTGCATGATGTGAAATTCACAAAGAATCAGAAGTTTGAAAAGAGAAAACGGAGATGAATGCTGGTTCTTAGATCATTGTTCCCCGCCTTTAAAAAATTGTGTGTGTGTTGCCTGCCTTTCTGACATGCACCACGTATGTGCAGTGCTCACAGAGGAGGCTGTCAGACTGTAGTTATAAATGGTTGTGAGCCTCCCATGTTTTAGCACAATTTCGGGTGAATCAGATTTTGGGGAGGGAGCTGACAGGTCATTGACAGTCAGAGGCATATTGTTTTTTTATTTGTTTTTAATTTTAGGGGGCTAGCAAAGTGGCTCAATGTTTAAGAACATTTGCTCTTGCAGAGGACCCAGGTTTTGCTCTCAGCACACATTTGTTGGCCCACACCCATCTGGAAAGACAGTTCCAAGGGATGACCCCCTTTCTGGCCAATTCGGGCAACAAGCATCCATTGGCGCACGTATAAACACGCGGGCAAAATACTCATACACATAAATTTAAAATGTAAAAGATCAAAAGATAGATCTTTAAAAAAAATAATAGTTTTCAATGAGCAGTATTGGTGGTGCACGTTTTTAATCCCAGCTCTTGGGAGGCAGAGGCAGGCCGATCTCTGTGAATTTGAGGCCAGCCTGATCTACAGAGCAAGTTCCAGGACAGGCAGGGCTACACAGACCTTGTCTCAAAACAACAAAACAAAAACAAACAAAAAACCCAACTTTGTTTTTGTGTGGGACGCTGGTACAGGGGTTTAATTCTCTGCTTCCACCATGTCTTTCCTGGGATTGAATTCAGGTACACTTGATGGAATTGTCAACTTCACCTGTTAAGCCAACTCCAGGGGCCCCTCTCCTGTGTTTAGTTCTGGGCTGGAATTTCCTATACAGACTAGACTAAAGCTGGACTCAGAGACGCCCGAGTGCTGGAATTAAAGGGGTGTGCCACCACGACCAGGGCTTGATGAACTCTTAAAGGAGTAGGTATGATAT